TATTAATGCGAAGTCAACATTAATAGCCTTAGGCATGCATAAGCTCCCGCTCCACTTACCGCTCCTTCTCCGCAGGCAGGATACATGCCTCAGCTTTCTCTCAACGTGGCTTGCCCGACGGCATCACACGGTGTTTTCCAAGCAAACAATCATTAGAAACTCGAACCCCAAATTCAGAACTCCTTCCGAACAGTCTCCAAGCATGACCTTACTGCCGCCGGCTTCGATCCACAAGATGATCACGGGTTGGGCTTGCCCGTGACGAGTTCATTTGAATTAGGTATTGACTTGAAACCTCAGACGTCTACTGTCCCAGGACTTGCGCAGCATCTTTCTACAAGCGAGTTCTTAGCCAACGATTCTCGGCAGCTAGGGCACTTTCCGCATTGGATTACTTGTTGCTGGTGCCGGCGACATGGCGGGGGAGGGGTGATGACGGGGTTCAGGGCCGAAATGCCTGCACAAGTTGCTGCGTGCCGAAGCGTGTACGTACGTGTCAGAGCATGTTAGCCGGGACAGCAACTTCTGTAGTGCTACACACCGCCATAGAAAATAAATGACTTCAAACAAAGAAGGGTATCAGACTAAAAGGGTTGTTAGCGCATGCACTGCAAAAACGCAAGGCGCCCATGGACAATGGCCAAAGGCTATCCCAAGTTCACGTATTTCGTTGAGGCACCCACTTGTCCAGTCCTATAGAATCCAAAGCTGGGCATGTGGCTCAATCTCGGGACAAAAAGGCGCAGCATGTTTTGTTATGGTCAACGTTGTGAGGCTGCTGGTTTGTTTAAGCGCGGGCTTTGGGAGTCGAGGTGATTGGACTTACAGTAAGCGTGACTGACTCTATGCCACTAGTTTGCTCAAGGATCCCTTGTGGCCTGATGCGCAAAGTGGCCTTTTGCCACCTCCTCTCGTAGAAAAGCATCAATTCTGCGGGCAGCCTGCAAAAGACCATTGTGCTGAGCTGCGGTGGCTGCCCTGCATCCTTATTGCAAAGCCTGCCGCATAGGCTAGGGACTTCAGGGATGCACGCGTACATTCAAAAGGGGCCTGAGCAACATACAAATCCTTGGCAGTATGTACATGCTTCCTTGAAATACCTTGAAATTCGTAAACGGGTGCAATTCCAAAGCACTGCGGTCTTGCCCAATCAGCCCAATCCTTGCCTGCTGTGCGCCATTGTTGTCACGTAGCTGTTCCTTGGCCGCCACATCTAAGGAATCAAAAGCAGAATTGCCGCACCGGTGTAAGTCCGGCAAAAACCCTGCGGATTGCGAAGCCCCAAAGTCTTTGTGTTTCGTCCCAGACGCTCCGAGGCTTCGCACTTCTGGCCGGCAGGCTTCTGCCTCGTGGATAGCCTCGGCGAGCTCGAATGCGGAGACCTGCCAATGAGGAAGTACACTCAGCAAGGTTGAAAGGCGTTTTTTGAAGTGTCTGTGGAGGGGGTCCATATTTGTGTGCATGCGTAAGGGGCTGAATCTGTATGGTCTGCAGGCATCTAAAGCTGGAAGTCAAACTCTCGCGCAGTCTTACGAGGGTTTAAGTTGACAAGCCAGCAGAGCCACATGGAAAGGCAGTGACTTGTACATTCATAGCTGTCTCTTACACTTAATTATGGGTCTCTCTCTCTCAAATCGACAAGCTTCGGACAAGGAAGTGGTAAAGGAACAACATTCCAGCTGTAAGCATGCACCAGCAACCTGCGACAGATTCTCTTCGAAACCAACTCCAGCAGAAAGGCGCGCCACCGCCCGAGAGTTGTCAAACTGATCGGCAAAGATGGGCCTGAAGAGGCTTCTGGAGGTCGTGTCCCCCGACATGTAGCTTGTGCTTTTGGCAGTCTACAGGATAGTATCAGAAATGCTACAGTAGACACCAGGGTAGACCTTGCTACACTGATCTACGAGGAAGCTGGCAGTTGGTTGTTAACCAACACATCTTCCAACAGCTGTCGCCCTGAGTTGGGCACGTGACCACAGACCTTAGTGAACAATCCATGTGCAGCTGCTGAATCATCTTCGCTGTCCGTTGAGTTTACGGTTGGGGATCAACAATGTAGCCCGTCATGTCGTCCTTCAACACAAGCTGATCAAAAGAAAGTGGCTGGTCGGCACACGGGCATGAGGCTTAGAAATGAACATCCTGAGCTTGCATGCAAGGGCAAATCCACATCCGGAACCAGCACCCCGGTCCGTTGCCCTATCCATGACCCTTCAAAAGGGAGCTTTGAGCCTCTGGCGGCACACCCTCGCGCAACGCAGTCTGCCTCGGCAAGCGGCATTGTTGACAGATTGGGTTGTGAAGGGCCCAAGGGGAGGCCACGTCAAACAGGAAAAAGAGCTTCCAACACTATATGTCGAATGTAGATCGTACACGCGGATCTATCTGCTCATTTAGCATTTGCAAGTTCCTGAAATGCGTGCTGCTCTCGGACCCCCTTTGCAGTCAGGAAACAATGTCCCGGCGCCGCCGTGGTGAACTAAGCAGCTGCAGTGGGGGAGTAGCCAGGCCTGGATTGTGCTCAAATCCGCGACTGCATCCCAGCTGTTCAAAAATGACACGAGTATTCTGTTGTGATAAACAGTGCGTGCATAGACAATGCATCCAGCGCTCCCAAGTGCTTCCAAGTGGCATGCGGCACTTCGGCGATAAAGAAAACGCTCTGCCGGGCAAACTGGGCGAGGTCGTGCCAGCCCTGGGTGGTCACATGCAACTGCGTTCATCTCTTGCGAGTGGTCTGCGTGCGCGTGATGTATACTATATCCCTTACATCTCACTGCTTCTCTTAGCCTTATGGTCATGTTTGCAGGCGTCTGTATAGCAGACCTCAGTGACCTCAGGTCCAGACAGCTTCTTCTGCAAGCTCGCCGTTGAGCAGGCTCTCTCCCAGCCTTAGATTGCAATTTAGCGGTCGCTGATTTAAAGCAGAAACAAACACCGCCATTTATAAATCTGTTGCAAGTAAGCTCAGGTGAGCGGAGATCGAACGTCCTCAAGATGTCTCATCTCTCCTTGAGAATACTCAAGCTAGGCCCGGACAGCTGGCCATGCGCCAAGTAAGTTGCTAATGGATGCTATGGAAATGTTACTACCTGATGTGCCCCACTGGATGAGAAGATCCCGCTGTCTGCCACGTGTCGGCCTAGCACCCCCTCTGATAAACAGAAACAAAGATGTCCAGCATCTATCCAACCCTCAGTCCCTTGTCTTGTTTTATCTCTTTTTCTCTGTCCATACCAGCACGTCGACGGAAGAGGCGGTCGTCGTGCCATTAACCATTCTGGGCCGCTGGAGACTTCCGAGGCTGGGAATCTTTCCGAGCGTTCGAGTAACTTACGAATCGAGTTTAGTTCATGGCAGAAGCCCGATGGGAGCGTGGGCCCGGAACCGACATCAGCAAACTACCGGTCGAGAGGAGCTGTGGGTGAAAGCCAGCTTTGTGCCAAAACCTTCTGCCTCCGTGCTAGATGGCATCCTTTGTAGTTACCACCTAGGCCTGGTTTGTAGTGATCCTACATCTTGATCTTCTCCTTGATGCTCAAGTAGACATGCAAATACCCCATCTCATTGACACTTGGGAAATGGAAACTTCCCAAGCAGGCTGAGGGCTGGCTGAGGGTTAGCCTATATAGGTAATAGACTGGGTAGTTGGACCCCAGGACTATAATCCTTATTATGGGGACCTTCTTATCTCTATATATCCCTCATTGACCCCTGTGTACGCCCTTGAAGGCACCTCTGATTTTCCCGTCCACTTGTCACCCGAATCAACATTCACAAGAATTCCGGGGTGCCCTTTCTTGCACCCACAGCTCTCGGGCTTTGCCCGCTGACCAACTTCTGGTCAATAAGAGACTTCTGCTCAAAAGAGACGACATGGCACTTGCTTCGGGGACTTGCTGGCATTACGTCTGACACCCCACGGATGGGTGCAGCCCATGAATGTCAAAGCTGCGATGAGAAGGGGGAGGTTCGGTTTCAAGTCATGCCACATCGCTGTAAGCTACTACAGTGCTTGAGGATTCCCATGAAACTACGAGCGCCGCCTCTTTCACGCTGGCTCCTGCTAGGTTTCTATTTTACTTTATACATCGCCTGAGTACCGACAGCTGCCAGCGCTTGAGGGTCATGACACTTGGGCGCGCCTGAGAATCCTGCAGTGACGTCATTGGATAACTACACCTTGGCCAGGCAAGGTAAAAAAGAAGGCCGCATCAAACGCGGTGAGATTCATGCAAGCGCCAAGCGTTAGTCCCGAGTACTCCCTTGCTGTCTCTCCGAGCCCGAAAAGGCGGGCGCACTCTGTGAGAGCCAAATCCTGAAACCACCCCCGAGTAGCCAAGCATGGTGACTGTTGCATGTACTTCAGAAACTGGTAGGCTGCCACCAGGTTGTGGGCGGTTTCTTGTTGAGTTGTTGAGTGTCCAACCCATATAAGACAAACAAGCGGTAGGTGACTCTTGCCTGGTAAACAGGTTCTAAGAAAACAACACCGATTAAGAGTGGTCGTGAAAATGTGGAAGCATCCTGAAACCAGCTCTTAGCATATCTCAAGCAAGGCAGGTACTTGGGATTCCGCCAACAACTTTACCGGGAGCACCCTGCGGCCCGAGGTCACAACGGCCACGCGTGAGCTCCCGTATTATAACTAAGAGGATCACAGGGACCATGAAAGGCTCGTTCGGGGCTTGGTGCCTGATAAGGTCTATCATGCAATGGTGCAATGGTGGCTACCCAAACTTCAGCCCGTTTGAGGGAAGGGCCAACAATCCGTAAAGGCTGCATTTGGGTGCAGGCATGGCAAGAGAAACCAAGAGCTGCATGAGCAATTGGCTCCATGATCAGTGGTTATCTTCAAACTGATTGTTTTTCAAAATGTATATATACATATATAGCCTCCGTCTGAGCATCGCTTCATCCCTGTGCAGTCCTCTAAACCTGCAGCATTGCCGGCGCGGCTGGCAATTTCCAAATTTGAGGCCTTTGTGGGGTCCTCAAATGAGGAACCCACACATTTATAATGTGTCTTTGGCAGGCCTTCATTTTGGGAAACTACTGCGCGGCTGGCTTGTGGCGCAGGTCAGGCCGATCTTTGTACAGCTCGTTGTGCAGGTCTCTGCTGAAGGGGGAGCATGCACAAACAGCTGCCGCCCCAGCGCCTCGGAGAGCTGAGAAGCGGGTCTTCCCGGCTTTGGCATGTAGTTGTCTATGTTTGTCTTGACCAACTGGGTTTGGGATTGCTGTCCTACAGCTTCGCTGACATTTTCCAGAAACTGTGGACGAGTCTCACAATCCTTGCTCTGTCGGCCGAGGAGCAGTAGACCTGGCGGTCACCCATCGGCGGCCTCAGGGAGTCCCAAACCTAGTTTCAAAACAGAGGCATCCTAATGAAAATGTTCACGAGAGTCTTTGAACATGCATGGAGAACGTCATCCTCATAGGCAGGAAATCTTGCGTGAGTCCACTGTCAATGCGTTGAGCAGTCATGCTTGTACAAGGGTTGTCATTGTACTTCTAGCAGACCCAAAGGTTCTGCAGCTCGTGATGGACGCCATTAGCTTTTTCAATCCAGTATGCGCATGAAGCAAAGACAAGTTCCTTGTTTATGATCCAGGAAACAGCCCCTATGAAGCCAGTACTACTTCCTGCCGCCATCTGGACTCCGGCAAGCTGCCCGTTCTTGCTTAGTTCCTTCTTGGCGTTTCAGACTGGGATTACATGACTCGCCCAAAAAACTGTGCCAAGCTGCATTTTGACCCAGACTCGCTGATGTGGGTCGTAGCACTCACCAGCCAGAGCAAGGTCCTGCCGACGTTTACTTCAATCATGCAAATCAAACACATCTTCTTTCTACATGCTCTAACTTAGCACTCATAGCTGGCACATGTCAGCAGCTGTTAGTCACCTTTAAGTGCGTTACCTGTTACCTCATACAAGTAGCTCATCTCCTCTGCCACGCTCACGCTTGCGAATCAAACCATGGGATAAGCTCTGGAAGCTTGTGGTGCCTACAAGTCCGCATGCCAATTGCCTCTGCCGACTTGCCGCCGAAGACATACAAGCAGCCTGCATCGTCGGATTCACATGAAACATCATGAAACAGTCTGGGAGCTGGATGCGACATTGGCTGAGCACATTCATCCGAGTCTCAGGAGCGGTGTGGGAGTGAGGTTCGTGTCCGTTGAAGCAATGCCATGATAGGTAATCGTTCATGACTTGCTATTGCCGGACAGGGAACCGGGGCAGACCAAAGACTCAATGGACTTTGAAAATCCCAGCCCAAAACCACGATGTTTTCCACATTCGAATTGCAACGCTTGCCACTCTGCACCTCCGGTGACTGCTGCTGCACCACCCACTCGCGGGGTGGACATCGGCGAGTGCTCCTGATGCCCATGCGTGCTCTCGATCCGAGTTGAGACAGGAACGCCGGTCTAATGGGGGACTGCTGTCACGACTGATCACGTTTCAAACAACACGTGAGGCAAATCATGGAAATCTATCTTGAATAGAGCCTCTCGAAAAATTCAATCAGTCCCCTAGCTTCACGACTCCCAACCTGCAATGTTCTCCTAAGTAGGGCAAGTTGAAAGGTCTCAGAACTTATGCCGGGCAGCTGTTCAATGACTTCTGACTGGTAATCAACTAACCTCCCTACAAGCAACATGGACCCAGAAGGAGCTATCAAGAGCTACTGACTGCGGAATTTGGGGTTGGTTCAGCATTGGAGGGTTGAAGTCCAAGAATTATTATCTGATTGCAGCTTGGTATGCAGAGGTGGGACTTAACTTTATTCGTGAAAACCTCAGACCTACGGAAATCGACAAAGACAATGCAAACTTGTTCGGAGTTCCGAGGCCGATTCTTGTTGTTAGGGGCTGCTAGGGCTAGGGTAGTGGACTTCATTCTTTTGCGGAAGCATGCGTCTAGCACGGGATCAGATGAGCATTGTTTTTTGTTACAAAATTTCTTCTACTAACATGGAGA